TTTTTGTACTTTTAGTAGAGATGGGGTTTTGCCCTATTGGCCATGTTGGCCTTGAACTCCTGATCTCAGGTGATCTGCCCGCCTTGGCCTCCCAAAGTGCTGGGATTACAGGCATGAGCCACTGCACCCGGCCTTATTTTTTTTTTTTAAGGACAGGGTCAAGGTCTGTCACCCATGCTGGAGTATAATGGCGTAATCATGGTTCACTGCAGCCTCAAACTTCTAGGCTTAAGCAATCCTCCTGTCAGCCTCCTGAGTAGCTGGGACTACAGGTATGTGACACCATACCTGACTAATTTTCGTATTTTTTGTAGAGATGGGGGTCTTGCTGTGTTGCCCAGGCTGGTCTCGAACTTCTGGCCTTGAGCGATCCTCCTGCCTCAGCTTCCCAAATTACTGGGATTGCAGGCATGAGCCACCACACCTGGCCTGCAGTGGAGTTCCTTCCCCAACCAGGCACCTAAAATTCATTCATTCATTCATTTAGTCATTCATTCATTCATTGTTTGTTTTACTTCTTTTATTCCACAGGCATTTGTCTATTTGTTTGCTAACTGGATTTTTTTAAATAAAAAAGAGATACACACTTATAATTAAAAATAAAATTAGGCTGGGCGCAGTGGCTCACACCTGTAATCCCAGCACTTTGGGAGGTGGAGGCTGGCAGATTACCTGAGGGCAGGAGTTCGATACCAGCCTGGCCAATGTGGTGAAATCCCGTCTCTACTAAAAATACAAAAACTAGCTGGGCATGGTGGCGCACATCTATAATCCCAGCTACTCAGGAGGCTGAGGCAGGAGAATCGCTTGAACCCAGGAGGCAGAGGTTACGGTGAGCCGAGATCACGCCACTGTACTCCAGACTGGGTGACAGAGCAAGACTCCATCTAAAAAAAATTTAAAAATTAAAAAATTAAATTAAACAGAGCAAACAGTTTCCCTCTCAGAAACAACAATTCTTCTCAATTTCCGAGTCTCCTTCCAAATATTTCGAGGCAGTTCCTAGTATATAACTATAAAGAAACATAAACATATGTGTGTGGTGTGTATTGTTTTCCTTTTTTCACAAAAGAAAGCGTACATTACACATAGTTCTGCACCTTGAATTGTTTTCACTTAATTCTGTATTGAGGTATTTGTTCCATATCAACACGTGCACACCTTCTTTCATGGTTGTGGACTCTTCCAGAGCGTGATGTCTTGCCATCTGTGTCAGTCGTCTGTCAGTTAATATCTAGTCTGTTTCCAGGTTTTCACAGCAATGAAAATCTTTCTATGTGCATCTTTGTACATCTGTGAGTGTATCTGGAGCCCAGCTTCCTTGAAGTGTAATTGACGGTGCAAAGGAATGAGCAATTTGCATTTTGATAGATATCATCCAATAGTCCTCCAAAAAGTTGTACTCAATTGTACAAAAAATCACTGTTTGATCTCTACCAATCTGAGATATGAAAAAAACAGTATCTCATTTTAATTTGCATTATTTATGATGAGCGATGTCAGGTTTTTTTTTTCATGTTTCCAAATCATTTGTATTTCTCTCTCCCTCTCTTACTTCTCTTCAACAATATTCAAGGAGCTACTTGGGCCAGGCTGTTCGTTCTTTAAGTTGCATAGGCAATGTCTGGGGCCTATGAAAATTTTATGGTCCTGCAAAAAGGTTTGAGATTTGAAGGGTGGGAGAGGATGTATTGGCTTCAATTTTTTTTTTTTTTTTTTTTTTTTTTTTGAGACAGAGTCTCACTCTGTTGCCCAGGCTGGAGTTCAGTGGCGTTATCTCTGCTCACTGCAAACTCCACCTCCCAGGTTCAAGTGATTCTCCTGCCTCAGCCTCCTGAGTAGCTGGGATTACAGGTGCACACCACCACACCTGGCTAATTTTTGTATTTTTAGTAGAGACAGGTTTTCATGTTGGCCAGGCTGGTCTCGAACTCCTGACCTCAAGAGATCCACCCACCTCAGCCTCCTAAAATGCTGAGATTACAGACGTGACCACCGCACCTGGCCCAAAATATTTTTTAAAAACCAGAAAATGAAAATGAAAATTATGTCATTTAATGTCTATAAACCATAATCATGTGACAACTTCATTAATTGGAAAGCCTAGAAATCATGAACATTTCATTACATTTTAAAGCTGTTGGTTGGTTTAGATGTTCTCATTCCAAAGAAGTCTCAAGTATGTTCTCATTTCAAAGAAGTCTCAAGTATGCATGACGCTTTTTAAGAAATTAGAATCAATTTTTTTTTTTTCTTTTCTTTGGATGGAGTTTTGCTCTTGTTGCCCAGGCTGGAGTGCAATGGCGCAATCTCAGCTCACTGCAACCTCCGCCTCCCAGGTTCAAGTGATTCTCCTGCCTCAGCCTCCCAAGTAGCTGGAATTACAGGTGTGAGCCACCACGCCCAGCTAATTTTTTGTATTATTAGTAGAGATGGGGTTTTTCCATGTTGGTCAGGCTGGTCTCGAACTCCTGACCTCAGGTGATCAGCCTGCCTTGGCCTCCCAAAGTGCTGAGATTACAGGTGTGAGCCACTATGCCTGGTCCAGAGAGCTTTCTGTCCACAAACAAGCCAACCTTTCAACAAAAGTAGGAGACAGTGAAGGAGATCAGCTCTAAGTCTTGTGCTAGCCAAGGACCCCTGACTTCCCTCCCAACTCCCAAGTGTCACAGAGAAGAAACCCTCTTGCGCGTCACCTCCCAGACCCAGACCCAGCCTAGTGGCTCAACACTGGACATCGGCATTTGGGGAAAGCTGGCGCAGGGAAGGATGGGTGCACATGATGTTCTCTGTGGTCTTAGGACCAGTCTGGGTTGAAGGTGAGGGAGGAGGCAGATAGAGATAGGGAGGAAAAGGAACAAATTGCCCCCAAATGACAACTTGAAACTGCAGAACAAAACGTTTTTCTCTTTCATACCCTCTCCGTCTTTTAAAGGGAAGTAGAGCTCATTTCTTGAAAGGGACCATCTGGGGGTCTAAGTCACAAGTGTGAAGGTTTTAAGACTGGGAGGTGACTAATTCAGCACCTACCACCTCCTCCCTGTCTGCTTTCCCTCCCATCTGAAACTCAGAAGGGAAAGGGCAGAGAGGACCAAAGGTTATCCCACCACCTGCCAGCGGGAAATGGTATCAGAACCACGCGCGTGTGTGTGTATGTGTGTGTTTCCGTGTGTCTGTGTGTGCGTATGTCTATATGTGTGTATCTGCGTGTCTATGTGTGTGTGTGTGTCTGTGTATGTGTGTTGGTGTGTGTGTGTATCTGTGTGTCTATGTGTGTATGTATGTGTGTCTGTGTGTCTGAGTGTGTCTGTGTCTGTGTGTGCATCAGTGTGTGCACGTGTCTGTGTGTGTCCGTGTGTGTGTCTGTGTGTATGTCTGTGTGTGTATGTGTATATGTGGGGGGGCACGTGTGCACATGCATGTGTGTGCATATGCGTTATCCCTCTCCCCTAATAGTCTGTATCCCCAATCCTTAGCACAGGGCTTGGTGCTGGGTTACATTCCGAAAAGATCTATGAAATGCAGCTGAACTGCATGCTGCACTGGAGTCAGGTGAGCCTGCTTTGGAATCCCACTTGTGCTCTTTACTAGCTGTGTGACCTGGGGCAAGTTGCTGCCCTCTTCTGAGCTCAGTTTCTTTGTTTCTAAAAAACAAACAAACAAAAATGCATATGAAAACCTAGCCTGTGGGGACATTCTGCAGATTGAATGAAATGAAGTGGGTAAGGTGCCTCGACTTGGGGCAGTAGGGCAGCGAGAGCAGAGGCCACGGGCCACGGGCAGAGCAGGAGTAGTGTCTGCCTGGGTGAGAGGGTGCTTGTGGGGAGGAGGAGAGGGAGGCAGTGCAGGCAAGGCTGCCTGCTGGACAGAGGACTTGGAGCTGCCCTGGGAAGCGTCTGTAGGAAGCCATTGTAGGATCTATAGCAGGGGACGGACCAGAGGATGAGAGGTAGCTGGGATCCCCTGGTTGCCACCATCTTCCATGGCTACAGCCTGGATCCCACATGTATTGATTGCTCCCTCCTCCCTCTGTGCACCCACACCTCAGTCCAGGGAGCGCACAGAAGGAAGAGGAACCAATAAAACATATTTTAAAAAATAAGTCACTATTATTACTTTAATTTGGCTTCTAGTTACCTTCTTATTCAAGACACAGTTGTGGCTGGGCTCAGTGGCTCACACCTGTAATCCCAGCACTTTGGGAGGCTGAGGCAGGTGGATCACTTGAGGTCAGGAGTTTGAGACCAGCCTGGCCAACTTGGCGAAACCTTGTCTCTACTAAAAATACAAAAATTAGCTGGGTGTGGTGGCGTGGGCCTATAGTCCTAGCTACTCCGAAGGCTGAGGCAGAAGAATCATTGGAACCCAGGAAGCGGAGGTTGCAGTGAGCTGAGATTGCACCACTGCTCTCCAACCTGGGCGACACAGCAAGACGGTCTTAAAAAAAAAAAAAAAAAGACACAATTGCATTTCACAGTGAAAACCACAAAACCTCTCCAATGTATTCACACACATTTAGAGCAGAATTTGATTCCAACACTCTAATCAATGAACATCTAGCAAAGTGTGGCGAATATTACTGATGCAGTAATGGGAAAATGCTAAAGTAACAGTCTGAATAGTTTCGTGTGTCCTAAGTTTTCTGAACCAAGACTTTATTTAATTAAAAGCAAAACTTACATTTTCTTTTCCTTTTTTTTTTTTTTTTTTTTTTTTTTTGATACAGGGTCTCACTCTGTCATCCAGGCTGGGTGCAGTGGCAAGATCTTGGCTCACTGCAACCTCTGCCTCCTGGGTTCAAGCAATTGTCCTGCCACAGCCTCCCTAGTAGCTGGGATTACAGGCGCCTGCCATCATGCCCTGCTGATTTTTGTAGTTTTAGTAGAGACGGGGTTTCACCATGTTGGTCAGGCTGATCTCAAACTCCTGACCTCAGGTGACCCTCCCCGGCCTCCCAAAGTGCTGGAATTACAGGTGTGTGGCACCTCGCCCAGCCAAAACTTACATTTTCAAAAGAAGTTTGCCTCTCCAAAAAAAACAGATTGGATAGCTTCTAAACTATATTAAATAAGACCAAATAAAGATTTTAATTATTATAAAACAAAAGTCAGTAATCCAGGGAAACATCACCTCCACGAATGTCGAGCCCATTCAGGTGTTGCTGGTAGAATCCTAAAGAGTGATGTCTCTGGTTCCCGTGAACAATGGTCACAGTCCACAACCTTCGAGGACACAGCTCAGCTCCCACCAAGGGACCACGGCTGGGAGGAGAGCAGCAGAGCATGATCCCAAGGCCGCAGTACAGCTAAGTGCTCTCCAGAACCTGGACAGGAAGCCGTACTCTCTGCCCTCCTCACTGGGCGATGTGGATGCCTCTGAGCTGTGGCTTTCTCCCTTCTAGTGGAATAACAATTGCTGACCTCACAGGGTCGTTGTGAGGATTAAAGGAGAGCATACATGCAAATCACTTAGCATCATGCCTGCTAACAGATCAACACACGACTGTTATTAACTCGGAGTAGTGACGAGGGCGAGAGAAGATAAGGTAAATGGGACACACAGTAGAGAGAGTGAGGGAGTGTCAGAGGCGGGGGTGGGGGGTGACACCCAGGCAGCCCCAGCTTCTACTTACCCGGACTATCCACTTGCAGCCAGGGAAGAAGACCCCATTGAAGGAGGGGATGATGGAGGGGCTCAGATGTTTGATAAGATGGGAGGTCATCCTTGATCTACTTCCCTCCTCCCCTCTCACCTCCAGCCCTGCCTGGCCCACTTCCCAGGGTGATCAGGTGGGGCACCATGGGCCAGCAGAGCCCTAGAGGGTTCCAGAGCTGTGCCTCACACACAGGGGCTATGCTGGGAGGCAGGAGGTAGGGCTGCAGGTGTGAGGTAAGGGAGCTGGGATTCCCCATCAATCAGCAGGGCCCCAGGCACACCCCACCCTCATTACCTGGGGGCCAGAGGCTGCTCCATTTGAAGTGTGGGCTCTCTCTGCAGATAGGCCAGCCGGGCCCTCCCCAGAGGCTGGGCACCTGAGCAGGTGTGGGGTAGGGATGGTGGGGGGCAGGGATTTGCAGGTTGTCACTTCTTAAAATAGAGCCCCGCAGCCTGGGAGTCAGCCAGGTGTGACTGCCACGCAGTCTCCCAAACTGACTGATAGGCACATTTCAACTCTGGGCCTGCACAGACACATAAACTCCTTGGCACAGACCCCAGGGGACACTCTTATCCACCAAAGACAGACACTTGAGTCTGTACACCCATGTCCTGACTCACACCCAGCCCTATTCATGTACGGGCCCCTTCTCCACAGGGTCTCACCCCCCTCACACTCACTCACACTCCCTGACACTCACAGGCCCTGCAGCCTCCTAGGTCTCCCTGGCTGGGACATCTGCCTCCTGTGGGCAGGGGCCATTGGTTTTTTCACTGCTATCTCTCCAGTGCCTGTAACGGTGTCTGGCACAAGCCAGTGCTCAGGAAATGTTTGTTCTGTAAATGAATACCACACACACTTGCACACACACACAGAGACACACATGCCATGATTAATTATGCCACCCTCACCCCTCCCCACCCTGGTGCTCTGAGTTCTCCGAGGCCCTGGAGGGAGCGGCACCTGGTGGTCTGTCCCTCTCTGACCAGGTCAGCCCCTTGCACCCGTTGTCCAGGCAAGGGAGGGTGGGAGGTGGCCCAGGGAAGCAGAGCTTTGGGAAGCAGCAGCTTTGAACCCATGTTTGGAAGGTGAGTGGGGATCCTGGTTTTCTACAGGAAGGACCTCCCGCAGGGGCCACAGCAACATGCTGAACCCGGCTGTGACAGATTGAGACATACGAATAGAGCATGTGGTGGCCACAGAGCCCATGGATGGGTGGTCAGGCAGTCCTCCCTGGAGGAGAGGAACCTTGTCCAGGTGAGAGACAAGAGGACCTTCTGGGAACAGGGCTGGAAGGGGAAACTGAAGCTGTTGGTGTGATTATTCCAGGACTGGCAAGGCCGCATCGGATCTGTTTTAGGAGTTCATGATACCCTCTGGAGTGAGGGGGAAGCTCACAGGGCAGGCTCACTCACTAGGGATTGGGCAGGCCCAAGCTGCAGCCACAGGGGCTATTGAGGGGCCAGAGTGAAGCCCCTGATCATAGCCTGCATCGGACGACTCGAGAATGAGGTGCCTGGGGGAACAGGCAGGTGACGGAGAGGACCAGAGACAGACAGGTGGCCAATGGGAGACCAAATGGATAGACTAACAGATGGACTGAAAGATGGAGGAGGATGGATGGACAAACAGATAGACTAACAGATGGACAGAAAGGCAGAGGAGGACAGACAGACAAATGGATAGACAGACAGACAAATGGACAGACTAACAGGTGGACTGAAAGATGGATGAGGACAGATGGACAAATGAATAGACTAACAGACCAAAAGGCAGAGTAGGACTGATGGACAAACGAATAGACTAACAGACAGACCGAAAGGCGGAGGAGGACAGATGGACAAATGGATAGACTAACAGATGGGCTGAAAGGCGGAGGAGGACAGACGGACAAATGGATAGACTAATAGACGGGCTGAAAGGCAGAGGAGGACGGACAGACAAATGGAAAGGCAGAAATGGGTGGATGAAAGAATGGACATTTGGAGTGGGGGTGGATGGGGGCTGGAGAGGCAGGGAAAGAGGGCTACTGGACCTCTATCCCCACAGTCACCCTCAGGAGCCTTAAGAACCAACTACTCCCACTCCAGACCTCCCACCCCTGCACATCCCCAGCCAGGCTCCAGGGAAGCCAATGCCTGCTTGACCTGGTGCCCAGAGACGCACCTTCCAGCCCGGTATGATCCTGCTGCTGTTACTACTGCAAGCCCAGATGTGGAATCACCTCCAGGTGTTCTCACCAGAGCAGCTGTGCCTAGGATGGGATTGGGGCAGGCTGTATCTATGGACTAACACTCGTCAGCCCTCCAGCACCTAGGGAGTCAATCACGGCAGACACTACACCATGCACACACACACACACACACACACATACACACACACACACAGTGGCTGAACCACAGCCCACAGACACTCGCTGACACACACAAATGGGCACGGTCACAAATGCCCAGATACCAGGCTCCAGATGCCACAGAGATGCAATGTTGCACAACTCCACAATGACCCAATCATGTGGTCTGCACTGTATAGGGTAACCTGGACCCTCAGACCCACCCAGCACTCATGCTGCCATTAACTAGCCAAGGTTCACTGAACAGCTCCTGGACCAGGCCTCATGGGATGGCAGGAAAGCCGCCTTCAATCTCTGGATATTTGAAGTTGCACCTTCAAGGCCTCCTTCCAGAAGATGCTGGACCCCTGAGCCTGCCTCGCAGGGCCCTTCCTCATCTCAGCCCCAGCCCTGCCTCCTGCCCTGCCCTCCTCCCATCTGCCCTCCCTTTGGCCACATTTCCCACCTTGGGTAGGCTTTCCCTTTCCACTGTGCCTTGGCGCACACAATGCCTGTAGCCAGGAACCCCTTTCTCAGTGCAATGATCCCATTCTTCAAGACAGAGACCTCTGTGTACCTCCACTTTAATGGTGTGACATGCAATAGGGCCTCCAAAAATGTTTGTTGACTGACTGACTGACTTTCTGGATGAAATCATTAGAAGTACAAGTTAGCTCAGAATTAGGGCCAGACGGACTGGCCTGGACTTGCTGCTATGGGTTCTAGTCAGAGCAGGAAAGTGCCCGTTGGCTGGAAGATTTTGAGCCCCCATAAGCACACACATGTGACTACAGCCCCCTGGAGTAAGTCCTGCACCCTTGTACCCTCCACATGCCATGGAAAACATGTGCCACTGCCCCGTGCCAGGCCTGGCCACACAGCGAGGGCTGTGGGAGGGTCTCAGCCACGGTTAGGGGCTCCCAATCTCCTGTTCCCTCTACCCACTGACACCTAAGGAAGCCCCAGTCTCCTTTCTAGGATGTTCTTTGGGGCTGGGGAGTGTCAGGGCAGGCCCTCTGCCAACTCAGCAGGCCGGGGGACTTTGGATGTGCTGACACTGGCTGCCCTGCCACACCCTGTGTGGGCCCAGTTGGCCAGAGCTCTGACCAGCCTGGGCCTGGGCCTGGCAATAACCCATTGACTGACATGGAATTTCATTCCTTCAGCAAGGACCAATCATACCTGCATAGAGCTGACATGGAGTAAGGCCCGTTTCTAAACACTTCATTCATATTTGCTCATTTCATTCTTGTAATGACCCTGTGACGTAGATACAGTACTGATGCCCATTTCACAGTTGTGGAAACTGACGCACAGAGACAGATAAACTGACTTCCCACCATCAAAGCAGTTAGGAGTGGGCAGTTATGGTCCACACCCAGGTTATTGGGCTCTGGAGTCTGCACTTACTTTCCTTTTTTTTTTTTTTCCTCAAATGGAGTCTAACTCTGTCACCCAGGCTGGGGTACAATGGTGCGATCTTGGCTAACTGCAACCTCCGCCTCCCGGGTTCAAGTGATTCTTCGGCCTCAGCCTCCCGAGTAGCTGGGATTACAGGCACCCACCATCATGCCTGGCTAATGTTTGTAGTTTTCTAGAGGCAGAGTTTCACCATGTTGGCCAGGCTAGTCTTGAACTCCTGACCTCAGATGATCCGCCTGCCTCAGCCTCCCAAAGTGCTGGGATTACAGGTGTGAGCCACCACCCAGCCTGGAGTCTGCACTTTCAACCACTACATTCTACCATGTCTCTTCTTTAACTTTTTTTTACAAATAACAACAAAAAAAGTGAGGCTGGGCATGGTGGTTCTTGTTTATAATCCCAGCACTTTGGGAGGCCAAGGTGGGAGCATCATTTGAGGCCAAGAGTTTGTGACCAGCCTGGGCAACATGGCGAGATTCCCATCTCTACAGAAGATTCACGACTGTGATCCCAGCTGAGGTGGGAGAATCACTTGAGCCCAGGAGATTGAGGCTGCAGTGAGCTGCATTCGCGCCCCTGCACTCCAGCCTGGGTGACAGAGTGAGACCCTGTCTCAAAAAAGAAAAAGTAATATTACTTGCACCAAGCAACCTTTGGCATTAGGGGCATGGACATGTGACATTCCAGATCCCTTCCAGCCCTGTGTCTCACTTGCACACACACGCTACCTGCCTCATCCTGATGTTGCCAGGTGCACCCCTGTGACCTCCCGGTTCCTCCACAGCCAGGCATTGGCTCGTGGGAACTTGGTGCTCTCGGGTTTGGGTCCCAGTGGATTCTGGAACATCCCACCCCACGCCTGTCCTTCCCTGCCACCCCTGCTCTGCCCCAGGCCAGCATTCCTGGAAAGCTGAAAGGCACTTTGTTCAGGGCAGATGTTTCCACACAGCTTCTATAGCTGGAACTGGGCTAGGCAGAGAGGGGGTCCACCCACAGCCCCACGGGGACTGCATCTCGAGACCAGAAAACTTGGAGTGGCCCTGGGGGATCAGTGCTGTTCCCATTCTCTGTGGCAGGGGCCTTGGCAGGTGCAAGACCCAGAGTGTCCCCCCACAACCTGAGAGGGCTGCTTCTGGACACAGAGAGCTCGGGCCTCAAGTGCCTTCCTGGGTCCTGCCCATTCCTGGAGATGGAGTTCACTACGCTCCTAGCCATGTGCTGGGTGCGGGGCGAGCCCCAGATGGCTCCCCGACAAGAGGTGCAGGCACAGCCTCTCCATGAGCCATCAGGGACTCGGGATTGCATCAAATCCCCAAAGACTTTCCTGGGCCCACACTAGCCGTCAACCTGGGATTCACCTCCCAGGCCTCCACCAGCTGCTGAGGGAGCGGAGGTGGGGAGGCAAGAGCATGTCCTATCCTGCCTCCTGGCCCCCAGCCCCAGTAACACAGACCTGGGGTGCCTATTGTCTCAATAGCAGAAATCGCCCTCCCCTCCGACCCCGGGCCCCCTGCAGCCCTGCTCCCCACCGCCAGGCTTAATGCATGACCCGCCACTCAGCAGGTGATGACCTGCTCCTCCTTGGCTGGCCCTTCCAGCTCCTCCTCCTCACCCATCCTGACTCAGAGGCCTATCAGCTGCCACTGCCCCTTGGGTGGGAAGGAGCTATCTGGATGCCAGGGCCTGAGGGGCTGGCCATGCCCTCACTCCTTACTGACCTGACCTTTAGCAGGTCCTCCAGAAACACCACATGTACACGCATGCGTGTGCACACACACACAAACACCCACACACTCACACCCAGCTGCTCTATGACCTGATGAAACAGTCCGGGTGCAGGGCTGAGGCAGGCCAGGGAGGAGAATTAGACTGAGCAAAAACAGGGCATGTGCTGGGCAGCCTCCTGCTCTCCCACAGAGGTCCCTGCACCTCCTAGTACTGGAGGGCAATGCAGCCCGGCCTGGGAAACAGACCTGCACTGCTTGCTCCCTCCCCAGAACAGGCATGAATTCTGGCTGCCCCTTGGTACTGGCCTCCGACCTTCTAGTTCTCTCCCTCCCTTTCTTTCTCTCTCTCTCTCTTACATACACCCCTCTAGATTCCTCTCCTGCAACTCCTCAAAATTTCTCACCCACCCTCACCCCACAGAAGGAGCATCAAAGCCCCACACAGCCTCGGGCTCTCTCAACACCTAGGAGTTGAGATCAGGCCCTTGTGGCCCAGTCTTGGGGACTTCCCCCTACCAGGGTTGGCCCTCTTGGGTCCACGCCCCTTTGGCTAGACTTCTGATCGCTCTGGCATCCACCCCGCAGCTTCACTACGCCTTCTCTTGCCTGCAACACACAGAGGTTGGCAGTGGCTCTGCACTGCTCCCAGCACCCCAGATGGCTCAGGGCTGTGGCATTTCGTTTTCTTTCATTTTTCGCCTTCATGTCTGTGCTGTTCACTGTGCCTGAAATGCCCTCCCCGCTAACCTTCCTGCCCATTGCATCAGTGGCCCACATGTCAGCACCTAGCACTTAGCACCAGCGAGGCTGTGTCCTATCCTCCTGATGAGGCCGATGAAAAAAGTCCCATTAATTATGCCCACTGTTGGCCGAGTGCGATGGCTCTCACCTGTAATCCCAGCACTTTGGGAGGCTGAGGCAGGAGGATCGCTTGAGTTCAGGAGTTCAAGACCAGCCTGGGCAACATGGCGAGCCCCATCTCTACAAACAATGCAAAAATCAGCTGGGTGTGGTGGTGTGCACCTGTAGTCCCAGCTACTTGGGAGGCTGAGGTGGGAGGATCGCTGGAGCCCTGGAGGTGGAGGTTGCTGTGAGCTGAGATCATGCCCCTGCACTCCAGCCTGGGCAACTGAGGGACCCTGTCTCAAAAAAAAAAAAAAAAAAAAAAATTATACCATTTTTCAGAAGAGGAAGCTGAGCTGACAGAGGTCAAGAAAGATGCATTTCTACCCACCTTTCAAGATTCACTTCGGGCACCACCTTCCTCAGACTCTTCCCTCCTCTTCTTCACCACATTACTATGCCTGCCCCTGTCCCAGGCAGGAGAAACTGCTCCCAGGTTAGAGCCACTGCCCCTTGTAGTGACTTCTGTTTGAGGCTGAGACCTCAGCCCCCAGGTCCTGATTTGTGCCCTCCTCCCTCGGTCTCGGGGCCTGTGAGAGTGGGCCCTGGGGCTGAGTCACTGCCTGGCCTTACCTGCCCAGCCTTAAACCAGGCAAGCTTAGGTGCAGATGACCCTGCTGCCCAGAGAAGTGGGCGTCAGGAAGGATGGTCAGGCCCTCCTCCCTTTTCTCCTCCCTCCTACTCACCCATCTCCTGGCCACTTTCCTCCCTGTCTTGTCTTGTCTTTTTTTTTTTTTTTTTTTTTTTTAGATGGAGTCTCACTCTGTCACCCAGGCTGGAGTGCAGTGGCACAATCTCAGCTCACTGCAACCTCCACCTCCCGGGTTCAAGAGATTCTTCTGCCTCAGCCTCCCGAGTAGCTGGGACTACAGGCGTGTGTCACCATGCCCAGCTAAATTTTTGTATTTTTAGTAGAGACGGGGTTTCACCATATTAGCCAGGATGGTCTCGATCTCCTGACCTCGTGATCCACCTGCCTTGGCCTCCCAAAGTGCTGGGATTACATGGTTGAGCCATTGCTCCCGGCCCCTCCTTGTCTTTTCATGTCTACTTCTCTCTCTGCCCAACCCCATCTACACCCTTCCTGCCAGTTCCCAGGAAAAGTGACTTGGACTTTGCTGATGGGAAGCAGAATCTGGGCTAAAACTAGGACACGAGCGGGGCTGATGCCTCCAGCAACTCCCCCAGCTCAAAGAAGGCCCAGCCTGGACCACATCGCCGGGAGCCCTGGCTCAGTACTGGGGGTTACCTATAGGCGGCCATTTCAACGTGTGTGTGTGTGTGTGTGTGTGTGTGTGTGTGTGGCGGGCAGGACGGGGGAGGTGTATATTAATGAGGGAGGGGAAATGGACCACTGAGCCCCAGCCCCAACACCGCATTTATTTACTGGTCACCGAGTGAAAAATAGACCCTGAGTGTCCCTAGAGCAGGTGCAGAAAGGGAGAGGGATTCCAGGACCCCTTGGGAGCTAGCGGTGCCTCAGGGCCTCCACATGACCTCCCTCTCCCTGCGGGGTGGGTCTGTGATTCTGTCGAGTGTCACACACACCCCTGTGTTGCTGGGCGGCACCAGGGCAATGTTTTGTGCACTTCGCAGATTGCAGTGTTGTGTCGCAGAAGAGCATGGACTTTAAACCTAGATGGGATCCCAGCAAGGGATGACTGCACACCTGCCCCACTCTGGCCTCCATTTTACAGAGAGGGACACTGTGGCTCAGGGACAAATGACCAGCTCAAGGGCATGCAGAACCAGGCTGGACTCAGGTCCCTTGGCTCCCAACTCTTTTTTTTTTTTTTTTTTTTTTTTTTAATTATTGAAATGGAGTCTCGCTCTGTCACCCAGGCTGGAGTGCAATGGTGCAATGTTGGCTCACTGCAACCTCCGCCTTTCGGGTTCAAGCGATTCTCCTGCCTCAGCCTCCCGAGTAGCTGGGACTACAGGTTCCCACCACCACACCTGGCTAATTTTTGTATTTTTAGTAGAGACAGGGTTTCTCCGTGTTAGTCAGGCTGGTCTCAAACTCCTGACCTCGGGTGATCTGCCCGCCTTGACCTCCCAAAGTGCTGGGATTACAGGCATGAGCCACCACACCTGGCCCCACGTCAGGATTCTTTCCACTGTGTTATATGGTGCCCATCACATTGGATTCTGTTTTATTCCATCTTGTTTCATGTTATGTTATATAACGCAGGCAGAGGGGTGGGAGGTAGTGGTTGGAGGTGGAAAAGTGGCCAGAAGATGAAAAAACAAAAAAGCAGTAGGCTAAGGTCCAGGCAGTGAGCCCACATCCTCCCCTACCTGAGATTTCTCCCCCATCAGGTGTAGGGGGCGGGGCTCGCCCGGCACCCAGTGCCCTAATTAGCTCCTGTTGACAGTTTCTGGTTGATGTGTTATCA